AGTCGAAGTGACCGGCTGCATCTACATATGAAAGCGCCTCTCATGAATTTATGCCTTATGTCATTGCCAAATTCAAACCCTTCTTAATCATTTTAATTCTAGAAAGCATCCTAACCTCTCAAGTGTCAGAATAATGGACTGTTACTGTTACTGCGCACAGATGCTGCTGGCTGCTGGGAGGCCTATCTCTTCTGCGTGGGGACACGCTTGGCTCCACTTCCTTGCAGGGTGGGCTGTGACAAGGTTCCAGCGATAGGCCATGAGCAGCAGGGCNTGTTAGCCAGTCCGGGACGCTGTGTGGGGGAGGGGCCCTCCCCTGCTCCAGCCTCCCTGTCTTCCCCACCCTGCCTGCCCTGCTGGCCAGGCCCCCTTGCACTGTTTACATGAGCGATAAACATACTTCTCTCATGTTTGGGCCATCACACGTTTTGTCATAACAGCTAGCCTCCCTAACACACCCAGTAGACTGTTAAGTTTCCTTTCACTCCTTTATCCTGAAATACTGCTAAACATTTCTGTGTCTTCTACTCACTTTGTGATATTATCTTCTGTTCTGTAACCGGAACTACTTAGAAATGTTATTCCCAGACGCTGAATTTTTGTATGGTTTTGGTTCTGAACACCATGTCATTAGAGCTATTTTCCCAGCAGTGATGGATTTACGCTGCTTCACTCAGGCTCAGCTCATACTTGCCATGTTTTGTACCCATCCTGGGATCTGGACAGGAGGTGTCTGTGCCAGAGCTTGCTTCCATTCTGACCTGCTGCTGCGGTTCCAGAACATTTCGTCCCTGGAGGTGTCTGAGCAAGTGCTCAATGGGAGCCTGGGGACCAGCTCAGACTCGTCAGAAGTGCTCAGACAAGAGCCTGTAACTAACTGTAGACTCTCCAGACTGGGAGCCCGTGGGCCCTCTCCTTCAGGAATGTTCTCCTGCACTCTTTAGCAGGTGTTTGAGCAGGTGCCGGGGCAGGAGCAGGACTCTGCAGAAGGTCAGCCATTCCCAGCCACATTTTCTAGCAAACTGAGAGCCAAGAAATGAAACACAGATTCTGCTTGCACCATGGGAAGCACTTTTATCACTTTTGCTATATCCTATACATAGTCATCGTAGAAATATTAAATTAATAAACAAGAAGAAGAAAAAGTCACTCATAACCCCATTACAGAGAAATAATGATTCATATATCCACATCTATACGGACATACCTAACTATATGTATGATTATGTAACATGATATATTGTATGCAATTTTTCATGTAACACTAGCAGTTTTCAAGATCAATATGTGTTGATCTACTGGATCATTTTAATAGTTGCATAAAATGTCATGCTTTGAATAAATACAAGTTATTAAATAATACTTTATTGTTAGCATTTAGGTTGCTCGGATTTTAGCTATTATAAAAATGCTACAAAAACGTTGCTGAGAATATATTTTGGGGCATACCTCTTATAACCTCAGGACAAATTCTAAGACATTGTACACATTTTTAAGATTTTTGATAGGTGTCGTCAGAGTTTCCCACAGGAACAAGTGACCAAAACTCCAATATCCCTCAGCCCCCCCACCAGGAGTGACATTCTTTTAGTATTTGTCAGTCTGACAACTGAAACATGGTATATTATTATTTTTAAAATTTGCAGTTTTATTAGTGATGTTAATCTATTGTTCTTAAAATAGTCATGATATTAACCCTTTGCTTATCGCATATGATGCAAATATTTCTCCTGGGTTGTCATATGCCTTTTGTTTGTTGCTTGTTTTTTGTTGTTTCGTTTCAATCTATCGATTTTTCTTTGTATTATGATTTGTGCCTTCACCCTCAGTCACTAAGGGAAGAGCACATGCTACTCTGCATCTGTGCATGGTTTCGTGTACTCGGCTCTTTCAAATACTGGGCACTTATTCTGGTGAGTTGTGGGAGGTGAAGCCCCTGTGGTAGGGCCAGCAGTAACACGAGTGACCCTTGGAAGCAAGGGCAGGCTTCAGGGAGACCAGTCCCTCTCCAAATGGCGAGGTGTCCCTGCCTGTGGCTTGTTCACCTGCTGGAGCTACAGGAATAGGCTGGAGCCTGGCTCAACCATCGACTGCTGGGAGACCTCAGGGAAGGCTCTGCCTCTAGGTGCGTGAATCAGCTCACCACAGTGCACCTGTGATAGAACTGACCTCTTGGGTTGTTTTGAGGACCAAATGGGCAAACATACGCAAACTTATGGTGCAGCCGGCGCTCAGTAAGCACAATTCAAATGCTGTTGTTGTGGAACTCGTGCTTAATTTTATGAAGCTGTATGGTCGTTTCATTACATACAATCACAAATTCGTATATTATAAGCTCTCTTTAAAACTTCTCCAAGTCATTGGGTCCAAACAGGCTACACTAGACACAACCAGAACCTAATAGTACACCTGGAATTTACATTTTGATGGACTGCTCCTCCCAGGGTGAGGCCTGGGCTGGAACTGTGAGAGGGGCACGACAGGGACCTCCTGAGCTGCAGATGAGTGGAGAGGCCCTGGGGACTTGGTAGGGACTCATCGTGGTAGAAAAATGGTTAGCAAAGATGGTGTCCTGGGAAAGGTGAAACCTGGAAGGAAAGCTCTTCCCTCCAGAGGCTGCCCACTAAGTGGAGAAATATCCTCCAGGTGCCACCTCAGCTCCACAGCCTGGAGAGTAACAGACCAGATCCGTAAGCAATGACCAAGTAACCAAAGAGGACTGTGTCTGGGAGCTTTCAACACAGCCACAGCTCATGGGCCGGGGTGAACACAGGCATTTTTAAAAGTCACTAGGTTGTGAGATTTTGCTCACAGTTGTCATCGTGGAATGCTGAGGTCCACCCACACAGAGCTGGTGAGAGTGAGTACCCTTGCGCCGTCGGATTCTCTCTAACTTGGTCACCCACACTCAGGCTGGAAGAGGCCCACTGCACTGCGAGGGTCATCTGCTTTACTCAGTCTATGGATAAATGCCAATCCCATCCAGAAACACCCTCACAGAACTACCCAGAGCGATGTCTGACCAAATATCTGAGCACCCTGCAGCCCAGTCAAGTTGACACAACACCAGCTACCCACAAGACTTCTCCATCTGGGGCTAATGGGCACCTCAAAAGGGACAAGTCCAAAGTGAACTTCTGCCTTTCCTTCTCAAGCCCACTGGGGGCTAGAATGAGCCCCTGGCCCATCGCTCAGGCAGGTCCCGGGACTGCTCTGTGCCTTTCTTTCTCTTGTGCCCCCACCAAGTTCTGCCTGGGGAGCACACCCAGAATCTGGCCTCCTCCTGCTGAGCCCCCACCTCTCCTTATCTCGGCACTGTGGCCATCACTGGCCTTGTGGCCCCTGACCTGCCCTCAGTGGGCTGCAGCAGCTCCCAGCAGAGACTCGCTTCCCAGGCCCCTGCTCTGATGGCCCAGGGGTGGGTTCCTTGCCGATGGGATGTGGGCAGCAGCAGCAGGGTCCCCACTCCAGGCCTGGCCAAGGACCTCCCTCACCACCTGCTGGTGGAGGCCACACCCAGGGCAGGGTTGGCATCACAGATCCCAGCAGCGGACCCCTGGATGGCTGCATGGAGGTAACTTCTAGAACACAGGGCTCCACACTCACTGTGAGGGAAACACTGTGACCCCAGGATTCTGTGCCCAGCTACATTGCCTTTCATGAGTAAAACGCAGGACATTCTCAGAACAGCTGCTCAGAGCCATGCTTCCTGTGTGTGCCTCCTGGAAACATCTGCCCATGCAGAGCTGGCTGGGCTGCATCATTGGCAGCAGCCTGGAATTTGGTCCTGGAGTGTCAGTGCTCAGGGAAGTCCTGGAAGGGGTGACACTGAGACCTTGGTGAAGTGACCTGCCCAAGGGGAGGGGTTGGAGCCCACCCTCCCAGCTCCTGCCTGCTCCTGCCCACTGCAGGACCACGGTGAGGTCAGGGGCCATGGGCCCAGAAGAGAGCCTGCACATGCCCAGTGGCCGCTGGTTTCTGCTGAGAGTGTGATCCAGGACAGGAATCATGTGGAAGGACAGCTCTGAAGACAGACTTGCCAGGGAAGCTTCCTTTTCTCATCCACGCTTAGTCAGCTGGTCATGGTGAGGGGAGTGCCTGAAGGACCACTCTCTGGAGGTGAACGGCCCAGTCTGCTGCTGAGGTCAGGCAGGGAGGGCGCACCTCTCTAGCCCCAGCATCTTCAGGACGACTCTCAGGACTGCCATGAGAACGTCCTTCCCAACTAAGGGAGGTGACCACCCATGGGTGTCCTGAGCTCCTCACAGACATGGGGCAGGAGGCACATTGCAGAGAGACTGGCCAGCATGGTGGGGACCCAGAGCTCTGGAAACACACCCTTAGAAGAATCCTAGGAAGAGAAGGCAGTGAAAGAGGCTCTGACTTCAGGTCACATGCGCATACGCGTGGCCGGCAATCTGTGCGACTAGGTCCCGCAGCCACCACACCATGGCTGCTTAGATCCCTCCCCTCCCTTGACCAGATGCCGTCAACCAGTGGCTTCTGCTGGTTTACTGCACAAGAGCCATGGTGATGGGGAAAATCAGAGTACTTCTAGACTCCGCTTTCAGCCGAGTGGCCTGGTGGATGAGAGCATCGGCACAGCCCGGCATGAACAGCCCACACTGCCAACAGTCATGTTGGTCTGTGCTCCCACAAACCAAGAGGTCTTTTAAGGAAATCCCTCCCCAATCCAGCGTTGAGTCATCTGGCTTCCATCTCTGGCTCCTGAAATAACCAGAATCTCAAATTAGCCATGAGGAAAAATATCACAAAAACATTTCTTTGTTATGAAAAGGAAGACAAAACCCAAGAGCTGGCATGGGGGGAAGAGATTGCTATTTGTTGATGTTTATCTCTCTTACTGCACCTTACAGTTTCTTCTATCCATGGAAGGCGTTGAGCTGGAGCAGCAGGAGACGCAGGGTGCTCGGCACAGTGGGGCCGTCCGCAAGAGATTGCTATTTGTTGATGTTTATCTCTCTTACTGCACCTTACAGTTTCTTCTATCCGTGGAAGGCGTTGAGCTGGAGCAGCAGGAGACGCAGGGTGCTCGGCACAGTGGGGCCGTCCGCTGCTCCCGAAGTCCCATAAAGATGGCTTTTCCACAAAGCATTTGCTTGTAGGAGATGCAAATTAGGGATATTTTTAGGAAATATTAATCCACTGAGCACTAATTTGCAGACTGCAATTTACTTCTTCCTCTCCCCACCCAAAGCCACGTGAGTGCACGGCTCCCTGCCTTTGTAACTCTGTTTTTGAACCGCGGCTTGGTTGTTTTCTATAGGAGGAATGCAGGCACACTGTAAAGAGACAATACCAAGAGTTACAAAAGAGAAAGCAATAACACACCAAAAAATCACCGCCAATCCCCTCGGCCAGAAATACCCTCACGCACATGGGGTGTGGCAAGGCAGGAGGAGGCAGGCCCCACGCAGAGCGATGGGAGGACAACCGGTTCCTTAAGTAGCTGGACAGGCAGAGGGGAAGGGGCTAAGGGTTTTCCTTGAATTTAACAGAAGAGAAAGAAATTGAGTGACACTGAAAGATTGCTAAACTTAACATAAATGAATCTTTGTTACAGAAATACTTTCTGAAAGATCCCTCAGAGGTATCTGGATACCCTGAAATAGAAAGACTAGGGCGGGCACCAGCCCTGCCACAGTCCTGTGGATGTCCCCAGCTGGCGCCTGAGCAGGGAGACAGCCCCGGCGTGGGAGGGAGACCGGAGGTGGGCTGTGCACACTAGGCACTGGAGTATGATACAGGTGGCATCTCAAGTCCCAGGGGAAAATTGGACGCTGAATAACTGGTGGGCAACTGGATAGCTTTGGAGAAAAGATTAGAGCAGACCCACCCCTCACAGCACATACAGGAATAGACTTGCAGTGGCTGGGGGCTGCGATGTGAAGCGTGGCATCACACGAGCACAGAGAGGGCACGGTCAGCTCCTCTCTCACCTGGACATAGGGAAAGGCCTTCTGACCATGACTCAAAGAAAAGAGAAGATGAATAAGTAGCACAAAAAGCAAGTTTCTGCACACCTGAAGAAACCATAAACAAAGTCAAAGACAACTGAAAAACTAGGAGAAAAGTTTCCCAGTGTAAACTAGATATATTTGTAACATGCCACAGATGAAGGACTGATATCCCTAATACTTTCACAAGGTGAGAACAAAAGACCAAAAAATCAGATAGAAAAACGGGCAAAGGACACAAAGAGACAATTCACAAAAAAGGTGTTAAAATGAGTCTTAAACACATGAACAACACTCACTCATAGTTAGAAAGTGCAAACTAGAGCAGCGCTGAGATGCTGTTTCTCATCTCTGGCAATACATTCTGTCGATGTGGCTATGGGAAGCAAGCCCTTCCCTGCGTGGCTGCAGGTGCACCTGGGAGCAACACTCCCGGGGGATCTGCAACACCTGGCAGAAAGACATGCATGCTTACCTGTGGACTGGGAGGGGATGCCTCTGGTTTCCAGAAGGAAAATGCCTGTGCATGGTCAGTCTGCTGCAGCACTGTTTGCAGATGCAGGACACTGGTGCTCCCTGAGTACACATGCAGGAGAGGGTGGCATGAATTGGGGAGTGTCCACTGATCTGGAGTGGCTACTAGGACCTATGGGCACATGAACAGGAGCCAAGAGCAGTCTCCAGAGCCCACCACCCTTCAGCAAGCAGCAGCAGGGGGGAGGAGGGTGGTAGGAGGTGCTGGGGACAGAGGGAGAAGAGGGGGTATGGGGAGGTGAGGGAGGGTAGTGGAGGATAGTGGGGGCAGTGGGGCCAGGGGCTGGTTTTCCTCCAAGGCTGATTAGAGCTCAGGGGATTTTGCAGGCTGGCAGGTGGGAGGAAGGTGGGATTAGAAACAGCATTCACAATCCTCCAATCTGGCCACAGCTGCCTTCCTCTGCTTGCCTTCTTCAGTGCCCTCAGTGGCCCCTGCCATGCCAGCCTCTCTCTTCCAGGAAGCCCTTAATTATCTCTTGAGCAGTGGCTGCTCTCTGGCTCTCTCCAGGCAGCCCCGGCTCTCCCGGGTCTCAGCACACCATGCGTTTCCCTCCCACCTTTGTACATGTGCCCCCCAGGCCTCTCATGGACCCAGAAAATGACTAGTTGTCCTTTAATACACAGCCCAAACATCTCCTCCTCCAGGAAGTCTCCCTGACCTGACCAAGCAGAAGTACCAGTGCAGTCACCTAGCACCACGGCACCTTGCGCGTCTGCTATGAATCTGCTACCTTGGGCTGCCCATGCTGGGGAAAGACATGGGCGTTCATGGCTTAGTCACAGGCTGCTGTGACCCAACCTGCACCTTCTCTTCCCAGGTGTGCAACCTGAAGTTCTGTGAGCCTCAATCAATGTGAGAGACTGTGAGTCCTAGAGACCAGGTGGGCCCTACACACCTGACACCGCGTCTGGCCACGGTGGCCTGTCATTGCTGTACAGGAGGCAGGTGAATGATTTTAAAACATTTCTGTCATTAGCGAAGTGATTTTCCCAGCATTCCTCACATGGGAGCCCTCAATAAATATTCACTAGAATTATTTCATAGATTTAGATTTCTGTCATGCAAGTGAAAAGAAGGAAAATTGCCCTTTGCATGAACAGATGACCTGCCATAAATGGGCTATTGGATCTCAAAGTGCATTGTAAACTCTCAAGCTGGGCTTCACAGGCACGTGACCCCTGTTGGACAGGAGGACCCCCTGCTCAGGAGGACCCCCTTGCACTCTTAATGCTCTCCAGCTGCCATCTTGTTATTTTGATACTTTTATCATTGAATTTATGCTTTGAAAGTGAAGCCCAGTGAGGTGGGCTTGGAGCCTGGGCTCACCATGTGGTGGCACCTGCTCAGTCAGGGCCTTGCACAGGCCCAGAGAGGGCTGGGGTGGGCAAGTGTGTGCCACATACCGAGCAGTGGGGTGGGCCCAGGTGACTGTGATGGTCTGTCTTTGCCCTGCAAGTATCCCATGCCCAAGGGAGCAGGACATTAAGTAGCAAACAAAAATCACTATGATAGGGAGGGAGGGAGAGAGAAAGGAGAGAGGGAAGGGGATGGCAGGGAGAAGCACAGATGGAGACACAGACTTCAGAAGAAAGGAAAGAGCATTGTCTCTGATTTTTGGACAAGGGGTCTCACATTTTTATTTTTCACTGGGCCCTGCACATTACATAGCCAGCCTGGCTCTCAGGTATACAAATATGAGATCTCCTGCCTGAGTTTTCCCTTTAATTAAAATGAAGAAGGCAGCAAGACCCCAAATCACGTACTGCACATACTTTCCTGGTTTCCTGGGACCTCTGAACCTACCTTCTGTTTCACCTCTGTTAAGTCCATCACGTGGGCATAGCCAGCGCTCTCTGTAACACTGTATCACAGTCCCAGCCAATGCAATAAGGCAAGAAAAGAAACAAAAGGCATAGAGATTGGAGCAGCAGCAAATCTGTATCTATTCATAGACAATATGATTGTAGATGTAGAGGTAGAGAATTCCAAAGAATCTACAAAAAAATCATAGAATTAGTAAATGAATATAGCAAGGCCAAGGGATACAAAGTCAACATAAAAAATCAATTGCTTTTCCATATGCTAGTGAGAAACAACTGGAAAATTAAATTTTAAAATACCATTTACAGTAGCAATAGAACCCACATAATACTTAGAAATAAATTTAACAAAAAGATGTGCAGGGTTTCTGCCCTGAAAACTACACAGCTCAGCAAAGAGAAATTAACGGCAACTAAGTAAATGGAGAGTGCTAGGCTCTAAATGTTTCTCATCACCCAAAGCTCATATGTTAAGATCCCATCCCCCCCAGGTGATAGTGTTAGGAGGCAGGGCCTTTTGCAGGTGATGAGATCCTGAGGGCAGAGCTCACACTGGTGGGATTAGTGCCTTATAAAAGAGATGGCAGAGAGCTGCCTCACCGTTTCCACCAGGTGAGGACACAGTGAGAAGGTGCCATCTATGAACCAGGAAGCAGGTTCTCACCAGACACCGAATCTTCAGGCACCTTCATCTTGGACTTCCAGCCTCCAGAACTGTGAGAGATAAATTTCTGTTGTTCATGAGCCATCAGTCTGGTATTTTGTTATAGTAGCCTGAAGGGACTAAGACAGAGAGATAACCCCACTGTCATGCATTGGAAGATTCAGCATCGTAAAGCCGCCTATTCTTCTTGAAATGACCATAGATTGACATCTGTATCCTAATTAAAATCCCAGCAGGCTTTTTTGTAGAAATTGACAAACTGATTCCAGAAGTTTAATGGAAATGCAAAGTACTTAGAATAGGGCAAACAATCCTGACAAAGAGCTGGAGGATTTACACCAGCTTCGTTACTATAAAGCTGTAAGATTCAAAACAGTGCGGTATCAGTGTGAAGAGAAACAGATCAGTGCAGCAGAACAGAGAGTCCAGAAATAGACCCACTACAGTGACAGAGATCAGAAGGATGAATTCTTGTTGGAGGGCTTGACTGGAAAGGAACTTTCTGGGGTGAGAGTTGCTCTACATTGTGATTGGGGTTTTGATTTCAGAGTGTATGTATCTGTCAAAAATCATCCAACTGTACACTTAAGTTTACTGCATTTTACTATATGTAAATGGCACGTCAACGCAATGAACTAATTAATAAAAAGAGGGTCTGATGGGGCCGGGGACCAGACGCCTGCTGGGCATTGCTGAGAATCAGGACCAGAGAGGGACGGGCTAACTTCTCTGGTAAACCTACTGCAGGGGAAACAGTAACTGCTGTGTTGACGAGCTTCTTTTACTTTCTAGAAAACTTTCTAATAATTAAGCTCATATTCTTGTGCCAGTTAAGAACTGGCTGTAATGGGATGTGCTGTTGGGAGTGAGTGAAGGTGAGCATGTTCCTTCCATACTCTCCAGCATGACAGGCTTAGGGTTAAGCGCCCAGTCTCCTTCATAGCAAGTGTCCAGTGTGCACCACACAGGTCTGTAAAGCATGGCCTCTCCTCCCTCCCCCAACTCCTCTCCATCCTCCCCTACCCTATCTTCCTCTCCCTCCTCCCCCTCGCCCCTCCCCCTTTTCTTTCCCTCTTCCTCTGCTTCATGGTGACACACAGGCGGGCCTGGGACCTGAGGCCTTGAATCCCCATGGAGGGCTTCCCTGGAGGCCTCAGTTACAGAGTGCTGGGCACATCTGATGCCCTCATTCAAATCCACCTACTGGGATATGTGTTAAATGCCAAAGCATTAAAAAACAAAATAGGGCTGGCCAGTTAGCTCGCTTTGTTAGAGCGTGGTGCTGATAACACCAAGGCCCAGGGTTCGATCCCTGTACTGGCCAGCTGCCCAGACAAAAACCAAAATAAAATATAGCAGGGCCTGTGTGTGGTGCGCACAGCCAGCTCCTGCCCAGGAGGTGCGGAAGGGGCTCGCCCGCACCCGCACAGACTGAACGTACTTATTCAATGAGCAACAAAGATACCATGAGACAGTCAAAGAACAAGAGTGTTTTTCCACTTTGGGAAATAGTCAGAGCTTTTATATTCCGCCAAAAATAGAAGTGGAATTCTAGAAAGCAAAAATAGGTGGTCCTATACATGCATGCAATTCAAACAAGGCCACATAGACCATGAGTGCTCTCATCTCTCTGGAATGTTCGCCTGTTTTCCATGAGGTTGTGGAAAGAGCTGGGACAGGAGGGAGCCTGGGACCTGCTCCTGGGCCTGTGCTAGCTGCAGCCAACTGGACCGTGTGGCCATCCTGCACCGTGAAGGTGTGCTTCCCCTCCCCAAGCTGATGATGGCTAACACGAGCCCCTTCCCCGCAAACCTGTGCTAGCTGCAGCCAACTGGACCGTGTGGCCATCCTGCACCGTGAAGGTGTGCTTCCCTTCCCCAAGCTGATGATGGCTAACACGAGCCCCTTCCCCGCAAGGAAGAGACGTGTGGAAGTTCTCACTGTAACTCGCTCACGAGCCCCCACCTGGCCAGCACGAGATAGGTGGAGATATTTCCCCCTTTAAGGCCCTAGATTGTTTTAAACATCAAGTGCCACATTCTGCTGTGGAGTGGGGGTGTGTCTCTGCACCTCAGCAGGCAGAAACAGTGACTTAAATTTGAAGGCATGATTTACAGAATATTTAATATGTTTTGTTTATATTTTATTTTCACATACTTTCTTTAAAACATATCTTATACATTTTGTTGATTCATGATTTACGGATGATTTTTCAGCCTTTCTGATGAGGAAATAGAAGCCCACAGAAGGAACCCATGTCCACTAAGTGACCTGTTCTCACACCAGCCAGAGCTGTCTTCATGAACTGATAGGGAACGAGGCCCGAGAGCCTCTCGTCTTCCAGGCATGGCCACAGCGTCACCAGGACACAGCCAACAGGCAGGCAGGACCAGGCCACAGCCACAGCCCGCCCCCCCCCCACTGCCAACCAGCCAGACCACAGCTCACTCCCCTCCCCGAGCTGGGCCACAGTAGCCCCCAACCCCCCAGCTAGACCACAGGCCCCTCCCGAGCCAGGCCACAGCTTCCCCCACACCCCAACACAGGCCACAGCCCCCACCCTCCAACCAGGCCTTCCACTACTTGTCCTTGAAGTAAGGCTGGTGTGGGGAGCAGAACACAAAGGAGGATTTAGGGCTCATTCCAATTTGGGCTTATTCCAGAAATGCAAGGTTGGTTTAACACTTGAAGTTTAATCAACTTAATTCATACTAATATAACAAAGCAGAAAATCATATGCATGCATGAAAAGAAATTCTTAGCAAAGCAGGAATAGAAGGGAACTTCCTTAATTTCATGGAGGATATCTATGTAAAAAACATCTCTACAACAAATACCACACCTCCTGGTGGAATACTGAAAGCTTTCCCTGTGAGATCAGGAGCAAGACAAAGATGCTTGCTATTAACACTTCTATTCATCACCAGCCAGTAAAGCAAGCCAAGAAAAAGGCATTAAAGGATAAAATAATTAGAAAGGAAGAAACAAAAAAGTCATTGTCACAGACAAAATGATTGTGTATGTAGAAAATCCAATAGAATCTACAGAAAAGTACTGAAATTATTAAGTGAGTCTGGAAAGATTGCTGGATACAAAGTCAATATACAAAAATCAACTGTAATCTACATAAACAGAAACCAGTGGCCACAAAATAAAACTAGAGAACATTTTAAATTATCAGCCAAAGCACCAAGTATCCAGGAATAAATCTAATGGAGTGTGTGTGAAATATCTACCTAGAAGGCATTTCTTCCATTAGAGGACGACAGCAAGGAAATATTCAGATAAACATGGGATAGACATGAACTAGAGCACTTGATATTGTGAGGTGCGCATTCTCACCAGGTTCATCTACGGCTTCAGTGCAAATTCTAGAAGGATTTTGGGGGACATTAGTAAGCCAATTCAAAAAGTTACATGGAACTGTAAAACACCAAGTACAGGCAAGGACGTCTCGAAGGCCAGAACTGGAAGGCGAGTCTGTGGAGTCGCCCATGCAGGTGAGTGCCTTGGAGCAGAGCAAGGCAGTCCCACAGACGCCAGACCGAGCCAGAGAAACAAGAGGATGCACGCCAAGTGATTTCACTTATGCAAAGCGATAAAACAGGCATAACTAATCAAGCGGTCTGAAGCCAGGGCAGAGGCTGCATTGGGGCAGGCAGGGGACGATGGGTGATGGCCGTGTTGTTCTGGGTGGAGGTTTCACAGATGTGTCCACTTTGGGTTGCTTCATTCAGATGTACTCTCATAGCATGGGTACTTTTCTGGGTGTTTATTATCCCTCCAGAAAACGTTTAAAAATGCACCGATGAGGTCCTTTTCACAGCACTGTTCGCAGCTGCCTCACTGCCCCTGAAGTGTGGGTAAGGTCCAGCCCAAGCCCCCAAAATTCTAGTTTGAAACTGTGAACCACAAGATCTTGGATATATGGTAGCTGAAAGTCCCCAAGGAAGAAGGCTTTAAATAACCACATGAGCCATCTAGTTTGTCACCAACCAAACTCTGATTAGGAAATGCTCAGCCTCCAGCCCTCCCCAGAGCAGCTCCTAGCGGGGTGGGAGTCCACCCATGACTCCCACACCCCCTTGCCTGGCTCCAGTCTCTAATTACCTTGCACTTCTCAAGGAAGACTGCTAACAATAATTAAGATATTAATAACTCGGGCCGGCCCGGTGGCGCACTGCTACAGTGCGCTGCTTGGGAGTGTGGCGGCGCTCCCGCCGAGGGTTCGGATCCCACATACAGACCGGTTCCCACTCACTGGCTGAGTGAGGTGCAGGCGCAACACCAAGGGTTGCGATCCCGTTGCCAGTCACGAAAAAAGACAAAAAGGAAAAAAAAAAGATATTAATAACTCAGCAAAATAGGGGGGAAAAA